ACACACACACACACAGACACACACACACAGACACACACACACACACTCACACACACACACACACACACACTCAGACGACTCTTTTCATTTTTCAGATTTATTTTACAAAAAAAAAAGAATCGGGTCACTTTTCTGGTTTTGTTTGTCTCAAACCTGCCGACATGCTGCAGGGCAACAACACACAGAGTAAACAACGAACAACAAAAACACACTTTACAAAAGTTTTACATGTGAGAGTTCAAACTTTAGACTTCAGGAAGTTATTTTTTTACAGTACACAAAAAACAAAACACTGAGTTTGGTAAAAAATAAAAAATTAACTTCTTTATTTCATCTTCTTCTCCACAAACCAACGAAGAAGAAAAATCCCCCTCAGATCCTCTCACGCTGTGGGATTCAACTACATTTCCCAGAATGCCCTTCAACATCTCCAGAGAAGCTGTGGAGTCATTTGGTGTCTGTATTAATGTAGATTCTCTGCCACTAGGTGTCACATCAGAGCACCAGACTCCATTCACAAAAACACTAATTTTACCTTCAGATCATTTTAACTTCATTAAAGTGAACAGAATCAGAGATATTTCATAAATCAGCTGTTTGAGTCTGAATGTTTGTTAATGAACAGATCCATGAAATGTTTGAATCCAGAAACAAGCTGCAGCGTTCGGGGACTTGAGGGGGATTTTTCCAGATTTGTGACCTTTGACACTTTGGGTGGAGAACATGTTGGTTCTTTGGTTCTTCAGACGTTCTGCTGACGTCTGTACCTCCTCCTCCTCCTACTCCTCCTCCTCCTCGGCCGTTACTGACCCTTGTTCATCGTCCTGCTGGAGCGACTCCTGACCACCTTCTGGAAAAGATCATCTGAGAAAAAGCAGCAGGACTCATCAGGAAGTGGCTCACTTTTATTCTGACAGAAATATTTCAAAATAAGACAAACTCACCATTCCTGAAGCTCTTGGAGTCGGTCTGCGAGACACAAACCAAAAACCAGCAGGAGTTCAATACAACCTCTGACCCCCCCGTTCACATCTGAGACTGGTCATTACTGTACAGTCTGATAGTGATCATTATTGATTATTGATTGATACTCACCACGGAGGAGGAAGCTGATCTGAGAGGAGCTGCAGGTCCGTCAGCCTGCTCTCGGTCCACCTTCAGAGCTGCAGAGACACCATCATCATCATCATCATCATCATCATCATCATCAGGATCTGTCTCTGAACGTCTCACTCATCCATCAAAGGTTTAATCCAGAATGTTATTGATTAATAATCAATAACACTTTAAAAACAAGTTGTATTGTCTGATGAGGTTTATTATACATCTCATCTATAAGTATATAGATATCTATATATATACTGTATATAATATCTCCTCATAACCTGAATATAAAGATATAATTATATATAATTACAGAGACAGAGACAGGGACAGAGACAGGGACAGGGACAGAGACAGAGACCAGGAGACAGAGACAGGACAGAGACAGGGACAGGGACAGGAGAGGACAGATTCAGCTGAAGAAGTCCAGTCCAGGAAATGAAAGCTGTGAGCGGAGGTCAGACTCACGCAGAGGTCTGATGATGCTGTTGACGGCGTGGACGACTCCATTGGTTGCCATCAGGTCTGCGTCCGCCACCGGGACCTTGTTGACGTACACCGTGTAGTTCCTCTGAAACACAGAGAGGACGGCGTCAGCGTTTCTGCTCAGTGTTTAAATAAAGTTATTGAGGAGAGGGAACCCACCACGCCCAGCTCCAGCTTCTCCCCCTGCAGAGGTTGGAGTCTGGTGTGAGAGCTGACTCCCCCGCTGACCAGTATGCCCTCCCCCAGGTGGTACCTGAGCACGGCCTCCAGCTGCTGGCGGTTACCTGAGAGACAGAGGACAATATGTCTCTTCAGAAAGCTTCTGTTTAAACATTTTATCTTTAAATATGCAAACGAGGAACATTACCAATGTGTTCATTTACAAACATTTCCACAATGTGAACATAAAGATTGAATGTGAACTCCTGTCTCCTGCTGTCCCAGTTGCCCCCCCTGTTGCCCCCCCGTTGCCCGCCATCCTTGCCTTTATTAGGCGGCAGAGACAGTTTATATAAAGCTGATTAGAGTCTGAGTCACAGAAACAGAATGTGTCTGAGCGCTGGCACCAAACAAGGACTGAAGGACTCTGTTTACGTTAATGACGGCCAACATGGCTGCCGGTGGATTCTGCTTTCTACTCACGCATCAGTTTGTTGAGCTCGGGCTGCGACATGGCGCTGAAGGCATCGTTGGTGGGAGCAAAGAAGGTCAGCGCCCCCTGCTGGTTCAGCAGCTCCGTCATACCAGCCGTCTGGATGGCGCCAACCAGGAGGCTGAAAGAAAGAGCTCGTTTGTTCCTGATGTTCACGCCAACCAACGCCAGCTTAGCTTAGCATAAAGCAAGCTCATGTTAGCCCGGGAGGTAAACATCTGTGTATTTGTAAAGGGGGTCTCTTTGTAAATAACTTTATGGACTTGAGGAAACGTCTACAAATAAAACTGAACTGAGTATGTTGCATACACAATAAATCAATCAAACTCACCTGAAGCGGTCGTGGGCCTTCAGGACGTCCATGACTGTTCCCGTGGGCGGAGCGAGGACTTTGTCCACAGTGAACATGGTGGCGTAGCGCCCCTTCTTGTCGTGAGCGGCAATGCAGGCGTTCTCAATGCACACATTCTACAAACAAACAAACAAACAAACAAACATCAGAAACCGGTGAACAGGTGAGAGGACTGACGGGACGAGGAGAGGAACTCTGACAACAGCTGACTTGTTGTTTACTGGTGTGTACCACTGTTTACATGTTGTTTTTCTGTTGTTTACTGGTTGTTTACTGGTTGTTTACTGGTGTTTACTACTGTTAACTGGTTGTTTACTGTTGTTTACCACTGTTTACTGGGTGTTTGCTGGTTGTTTACTGGTTGTTTACTGTTGTTTACTACTGTTAACTGGTTGTTTACTGTTGTTTACCACTGTTTACTGGGTGTTTACTGGTGTCTGTAACTGTTTGCAGACACCAGTCTGAGCTCTGATTGGTCGGGCTCCAACCTGCAGAAGACGAACGCTGCTTTCAACTGTTAAATATAATACCTTTTATTTTCTATGTCATGTGACCAGGACGGGAAGTGGACGGGGGAACTATGTAACTAAAATATGGAAAAAAAGTCCAAACAGTCCAAACTGTCTACGTTGGTCGTCTGAACGTCTGCGACCTTCGACAGAAAGTTTCACGAGGTTCACGAGAGAGATAACAAAGATATAATAAAACATTTTTTTTTTTTTATTTATAGAAAGACTCAGTCTGTCCTGGTGCTGGTCTGAACGTCTCTGTGGGTCTCTGGACTCCTCATCAGGGTCTTGGATGGCAGCCATTTTGTCAGAGCTGGTCAGACACACACACACACACACACACGCCTACCAACGGTGTCTGGAATGATTTAGCAGCCGTGGGAAGCAGGAAACTTCTTGTGGTCTGCAGAGTTCATTACTGAGCAGAAATGTGAGCCACCCACGAGCCCGGGACCTGAAACATGTGGAGACCACCAGAGACAAGCTAACGTCGCAGACGGATCAGTGCAGGATCAATAACACCGTCAATAACGTCCAGTCAGCTGTTATTTCAGCTTTAGAGGAGATGATTGAACTGATCAGTAGCACTATAAGGAGTCTCTCCAGACTCATCAGCACCCATTTATAACATCTGCTTCATTACTAAAACGAGTTTAAAGACAGGCACACAGAGGGCAACTATTTACTGCTGTTAGATAATAATAATCTGATCAATACCATCCATAAAGATCAATAGAATACCATATACCAGAGTAACGATGTGGTTCTCTGCTCTGATTGGCTGGAGTTTGTTGCTCCCTGACAACCAGATATTGATCCTGACAGATATATTGGGTATTGGGCCCGTGTGTCTGCTGTCTGTCTGCTGGCGGCTCCGATTCACCACAACGTGCTTTGGATGACATCATGACCACATGTGGTGGCAGTAATGAGTCGACGGGCAGCGTGGGACGCACACAGTCGCCACATTTCCTTCATCTACATACACGAGCCTGATTGTTAAAGGAAAGACAGTTTGTGCCTCAGTAAGTGACCATAGAAGAACTCACAGGTCAATGCAGAGCTGCTCCTCACAAGCAGAGGCTGATCCAGATGTTTGCTAAAGTTATTAATGAAAAACAGCCAGAAACTCAGTGACCTCATGAAGTCATCACCAGGATGGAGAGACAATGTTTCCGGCCAATGAAGACAGACGATCCGCCAGATCCGCCCAGCAACAGCCGACACAGTCTCTGTGTTCTCAGTGAGCACAATGAGAGCTCTGCTGGAAGTCGCTCGCAAGAAAATATGAAATAAAAATAATAATGTGGAAAAAATGTTTGTGAGGGTGCGTTCAGGTACAGCAGGAGTGTAGGTCACACAATCACTGCAGTTAAAGCTGATGTTTATGAGATCATATAACAATAATATTAACCACAGACACACAGTCACATGGTGTCTCTCTCCCTCTGCCTGTGTTGTATCGCAGCCTCTCTGTGGTTTGTTTCCATAGCCGGTCTGCTCCGACTGAAACTGCTGTTTTTATCATCTACGGGCCTAGCGGTCGGTTGACATTAAGGTTTATTTTCCACCAAACCAGAGCTTGGTGATTGTGGAAAGCGCACTAACAGAGACTTTAATGAGTTTTTTCTGTTTCTGTCCACTGGGCGGAATGAATTACGATGATTCTGAAGGTAAATGAGTGGTTGCGCTGTCCTGCTGGGAGGCGTCTGGGTGGAGAGTGATAGTGATATTTGACGTGACTGTTTGTGGTTAACTAAAGGTCGTATCTCTGTAGCGGGGTTCCTTCAGTAATGGCTGTCAGACACTGACAATAGAAGTAGTTTGTGATTGTTATACAAAGACGTTTTGGTTGAGTTTTATTGAGTTTCTGTTCGATTGGTGCTGTAAAATTAACAGGTTGTCGGGAATGCGAGGTCTAGGCGCCATAGTTTGGTTGAGATGCTGCCTGGGCGCTATAGTATATGATACATATATAGGTTACTACTGACATTACACACACACACACACGACACTCACACACACAGCGGTAGTCTAACCTTTAACCAGAAATTGAGTAGGAATTAATCTGCACAGTAAGTTAGTGTGCATCAGCTAACTCTGTGCCGTCCGTGTCACCTTCTAGTAGGACACTACAGCAAATATAAAATGGAGTACACACAGTGAGACTGATAATAAACTCGGA